TTCTTTTTTCCAAGCAACTGTAATGTCACAAACACTGAGAGCACTGCTTCAGCCTACCATCTTTGTTAGCGGCTGTCATGGAATCCATTAAGTGTTCTGAAAATTCCTCCCAATCATTATCCTTTTTGCTGTATCTTACTCTTCCTTTGTCATTCTTCCCTTAGTTCAAAGTCTCCCAACACTTCCTCTGCAAAATAACATCAAACCCTCTGCCCAGTACCTCTGACCAGTCTCCATATGTCTTTTCCTGACATGTTGAATAAAATGAGGACTCTTATTGTAAAGAAGTATAGTTATTTGGAAGAGCCAGCTCAAGTTTTTTCTCTGTATTCCAAATCTGCCCACACCGTGTCCTTACTCAACCGTCCTCTCTGCTACACTCCTGTCGTTTGTTCTTTTGTGTCCCTTTCAACTACTCCCCTCTGTGTTGCTGTATTTTGATTTATCTTGCTGGCTTATCGTAACCCCTCAATTGTTTACCTGTCCCCTTTTCTCCATCACTGTAACTTACATAGCAATTCGAGTTCTAATAAATTTGCCTTAAATATGGTGTAATGGTCATTAGTCAAGGCTAGTGTGTTTTTTTCCTTCTTTTTAAGTGACTTGGGGAAATGATTTGTCTGAGGACAGGACTTGTCATAACCTTTGGGGTCTCAGCCCATGCTCAATCCACTGTGCCATACCAGCCAGGGCGGGACTTGTCATAACCTTTGACAAGTCTCAACTATATGATGTCATAGTACAGCTATAGTCAAGGCTGTATCCTGGGGATCTCCCCTGAATGTTCCACATTTACCTCCACTTACAGTCTTTCTCTCAAAATCTCTTCCTTGTCTCATTTCTATTATTCTCATGGTGGCATCTCCAGTCACCCAGTCAAGCAATTCCAAAATCTCAGGATTATTTTCGACCTTCTTTCCCATGTCCTAGTCATTACATGCTACCTTCTCTATTTTCTGAATATTTCTCAAACTCTTAGTTTAGACCCTCATCCTATTTCATTTGGACTGTAGCAAGAACAGTATCATTTCTTCTGGCCTCCTGGCTTTTCCCTCATCAGTTCCACTGAAACATTATTCATGGAGCTATTTTCTAAAGAAAATCCACATTGCATCATCCGCTTAAAATTTCAGCTTAAAGACACTTGTAAAAAAAAAAAGATAATGTAAACTGTCATAAAATCCAAGCAGCATTAGCACTCGAGGACCTGCATTCTCTGGCGCCAACCTCACAAGACCCCTTTACGGAAACCAGCTCTTCCTGGGAGCGCCAGGCTTCTACTACTCACTCCCTTTTCCTTGCCCAGGAAGTTCTCCTCGCTTCGAGCATCCTTCTCCCTTCCCTTGGTTCTTAGGTTTCAAAATCCAGTTCAGAATCACCTACTCTGTGAAGTCTTCCTCGGCTCTCCCCATGCTCCTTTGCCAGGGGAATGAGTGGCGACCACTTCCACGTCACCCATGGTGTCACTATTTTTGGATAGGTCACATTCCTACTTAAATTCAGTATCTCCTGCATTTTACTGGGCACATGGTACACATTCAAGAAATGGTTACTGTAATTAATACGTGCTACATAAAATCACTAAAGAAAAATTCCAGAGATCTAGAAGCATATCAATCCAACTTCTTTACTGCATGAAAGAAGCAGGGCTCGGGAATAAAGAGAAAGGACTGATAACCTGGCTATAGCAAACACATGAATGGGTTGTTTATTTTTTTTAAGCTAAGTGGTTTAGAAAGGGTAGGGGGAGAATAAAGTACATTTTAAGGTTCTAGCTCCAGGGAAAGTAATAAAAATTGTTGCTTTAATGTCTTTCCCCCATACTATTGTGAGCAATGAGAAGGTCTATTGCATCACACCGACCTCCAGGGCATAAAATTCCAGCCTCCTGAGCTAAATCAAACTGGCATCGGCTCTCAGTTTTTCAGGTGGTCTCTGCTTTCCATGAGACTAAACTTAACTGACAAAGAAAAAAACAAAATAATTATCCCCTTGTTTTATGAGCCCTTCTTTTGCTCTTGTCGGTTAATTATGAAGGTCCTGGAAACTCGTCTTGTACTCAAGTCCCTGGATTACAGGGATGCAGGCATTGGACCTTGTCTGCATTAGGAGCCGTCGTTCTTATAAAGGAAGAGGTTGATACGTGTGGGGACACAGGCATGTGCAGACACAGAAAGACACATTTTGGCATCATCAGGAAGTACAGCAGAGTGTTCATCCTACATAACTTCATTGTATTTTTATTTAATATGTGATCATTTGACAGTAATTGTAGGATAAATTCAAATATTTAGCATTAAGAAGCAGGTTGGGAGGCAGTGCCTTACCAAGCGAGCCCAAAAAACAACATCGCTTGGTCCTTACAGTTCGCAGCCCTTAAGAGCCACTCACTGATGATAGCTCTCACTGTCACCCATTCTCTACCACCTACATTGGTAAATCTGAGTGTTTAAACGTAGGATGCACCTGCATCTAGGTCAAAGTATCTGCGTGTACCCGAGCTCCAGTGGGATTCAGTAATTTTCAAAATGGTATAAAGACCAATTCTTTGTAATTCAATCTGAACCAGTCCACCCCCGGGCTCCCATCCTAAATTCACTTACCCACAACGCCCCAGAGTGTACCCTGGAATTGTCCGTCTTTCAGAAAGACACCCTGCCTCCATCTGCCTGTGTTTCAAGCACCCGACTTACACATTTTTCAAGCGCCGTTTGTAGTTAGGAAGCTTAAACAGGGAATGCACTAGTACTTAGCTCTTGGGCTTGTACTAAGAATTAAACGGGGCAATATAAGTAAAAGTAAATAAATAAATATATATAATAATGCTTAGCAGGCAGGCAGTGCCCTGTAGATATTAGCTTTGTTACATTCCATGGATGAACAACATATGACCCCATAATTGGCTCTTTGGGGAAAAAAAAAGTCTGAGAAAGTTGGGTGTTTTCACCAAACACCATGTTTGGCTCCACATCTCCCAACAGAGTTGAAATAAGTGAAGCAGGTAACATTATTTTATTCAACTTAACCTGTTTGGGACATTGATTTTGTTAAATGTAGCATGCGAAATATATTTTAATAAATATGTGAAATGCCATAAATGCTTTTTAAAAATCTCTAAGGTCCTTCCAGCTCCAAAATGTTGTGATCCATGATAACTAACCTCAAATGCATACAAATTAATAGTGTTCCAATTCCCTGGATATAATGGAAATATATGGCATTGTCAGTCTGGGCTGCACGGAGAACAAGTCAGAGCCAGGACAGGCAGCCTGCGGCAATGCAGAATAAAATCCTGCCCTCCTTTCTCTCCACCGGCCCAGAGTGTGGTGAGCTCCCAGGTCCTTTTGTAGCAGATACAGAGAGGAAGAGGAGTGAGCTGCAAGGTGCAGAGAAGAAAGGAGAGTCAAGATTGTGCAGAACTCCCAAGCAGAGCAGCTGAGGTAAATAGAACTTCATTAAATCACCTGCAATTTTACCTTTTAACCCTGATAGTAGCATCCTAGAACAGGGGTGTCAAACTCGTTTTCACGGGGAGCCACATCAGCCTCGTGGGTGCCTTCAAAGGGCTGAACGTAATGTTAGGACTGTACAAATGTAACTACTCCTTAACAGTTAACCAAGAGCTCGGGGCTGCCGCTGGGTAGAAACAAGGGGCTGGGTTGGATAAAACAAGGTAGGGGGCCTGATTCGGCCCACAGGCCTTGCGTTTGCCACCTGTATCCTAGAAGTCTAACTCTGGAAGTGGTCCCCACAGTCTTCCGCATCTTGGAGATTAAGAAATTAAGAACTGAAGAGATCAAGTGACAAGTCCAAAGTCATCCTAGAACTGATGCAGTGACCAAACATATTAAAAAAGCCTCGGCCTATGCAATTTCCAAAGTATCCGCACACAGATAAATGTCTCTCTTCTCCTCTCTGCACTAGAGTCGGCCTTCTTCAGTCACCCACAAATTAGCCAGTACCTGTCTCAGGGAAACAGGACACCTCCTAATCATGCATTCAAGAGAAATGTCTGGTTTTACAAACAAGTTACTAAGAGCAGGGTCATGTGGTTCTACGTCTTGATTCACTCTTATCTTTCTGAAATACGATAAATAATATTATGGTGACAATGATTCTCCAGAAGTCCAAAGCAGAAACAAAACACAAGTGGGAAAAAGCCTAGGCATATTTTGTTTTAAGGAACACCTGTACAAAAATCCACCTAAAGGTAAATGAGGGGGTGCTTCTGTGATTATTTGTTTAAACAGCATAGAGAACTCCTTTTAAGTACCTTGCACAACAGAATGACTCCATTGACAAAAGTACGTACAGCATTGACAACTTTTTGGAAAACTATCTACCAGAAGATGAGTTGTAAGCCTGTGTCCACTGCCTCCACTTGAACTGTATCTGTATCCGTTCAGGTGGTCCTTCATTCCGCGCTGGTTCAGGTGTTCTCACTCATTCACTGACTCACTCCTTACTTCACCAGTCTACCTTTCGGTCCTCGCTTACGCACTGAGTCCTTACTGAGGACCTGACAAGTGAGGGAACTTGGAGTGGAGCCTAGACGGCACCAAAAATAAAAGTGCAAGGGAAAAGAACCTCAAAGGGGACCAGATAAAGCACCCTGGAGGCTGGGGGGGGCTAGGAGTTTGTTCCAGACCGGGGAGAGAGGGAAGCTCCTTGGAACGTGGGGCTGGGCCCCGAGAGGAGGGGACAGAGAGGCGGCGCAGGGGAGGCACCGTCCTGGCGCGCTCGCGGAGGCTGGGCAGCCTCTGGCTCCGTCCCAAAGCCCGGAGGCTTCCCAGTTCTGGGCCCCGAGGGTCCCTGGTCACCGAAGCCGCAGGGCCCAGTTTCCCAATGGCCTCCCAGCAACGTCCATCAGTCGCTCTCAAAAATGAACAACTTAGGAAGCCCAACCCCGAGGCCGACTTCGGCCTCAGCCCGCCCCCCAGGAGGAGCCGGGGCCTCGGCCCAGCCGCCCGCGGGCACTGCCGGGCGGGCAGCGAACGCACCTGGTCCGGCCGCTTGGGCGGCTGCGGAGGGGGCAGCAGGCTCACAGGCCAAGGTTCAGGTCGCGGCCCTTTGCGCGGCCTGCGTCTGCGGCCCTGCCCCCTGCCCCGCGGCGGGAAGGCGGGACGCGGGTCACCGGGCGGAGCTGGCGGGAGGGCGCAGGTGGGAGGGACCCGGGCGCCACCTTCAACTCGGCCAGGGAGGAGGAAGGAGCGGGTACCGCTCACTGAGACTCGGAGGACCTGAGGGCCACTGGCCCACCCCACGGCTCCTCACCTTCTGGGTTCTGAGTCCCACTAGACAACTGAGTGTCGCCCTGGGTCCTGATCCCCGTGGCCTTGCTTCTTTACAAAGGAGGCGAACGGGACTCGCGCATCGCCCTCGGACCCCCGCGAGCCCTACCGCTTCTGGGCCGCGGGGTGTTCCAGCAGCTCTAGCCTCAGGCCCAGCCGGGTCCAGGCGTTGACGCAGGTGTTTTGTGCTTTAGTGAGTGGCGATGCACGCAGGAAAGCAAGGAGTTTTGAAGCTGAAAGGAAAATGCGGACGGTTTTGGTGGCGCTGAACCTGGCTATGGGCGTCTGGAAACTCGTAGCTTTGAGTCAAACATCTCCGTCGGAGGTGTGAGCAATTAAACTGTTATTTTCCCATCCTGCTGGTTCAGGATTGCCAGTGATGAAAGGCGGAGGAGATGAGCCAGATAGGGATCAGGAAGAGTCATTTATCTTTACTTTATACGTTAATTCTGTGAAGGTGCCCAAGAAGAACGGAGACATCTGATTACTGCCCCGTGTAGCTTATCTCAAAAGGTCGCTCGTATTGCTGGTCACAAACAGTGTGCCCTCGTATTTTCAACGGTTTATGTTTTGATAAGTTTGCATTTCTTTAAAACTCTTATCAGATACAAACGCTTATCTTTGAGAAACATGGAGCAATTCAGATCCCTCCTCTTAACCAAAAAAGAAAGTTTTAATTTAAAAAGGAAAACCACATGCTCTCTTGGGAGAAAAGCACAAGTCATGCAATGTCCATTTAACTACTTACACATACCTCTCAGTTAACAATCTCTCTAAATGTTTAATAACCCTGTTGCCCACCAGATAAAGTCTGAATTCTGATCCTGGCCCACCGCTCCAGGATCATGTCTGTGGTGCTAAATCCACCTCCACGGAATTACTTTTTTCTCTATCTGAGGTAAAGGACAAGTTTTATTATTTCCAATTTTTCAGGGACTGTTAGTTTTGCAAGATACAACTAAAAACCTGCTAGAAAAAGTGAAAAAGACAAAAGATCCATAAGGCAAACTGCAGCTTTCATTACGAGCACAAAAGTATAAATGTACTCTGTCCATTTGTTTTTCCTTTCTTTTTCTATCTCAATTTTGAGTCTCAGTTTTGATATTTATCTCTTCTTGAACAAGTAGAAACAGTTCATAGATTGGTACTGATAACCATACAGTGTCTGATGCTTTTTAACGTATGTGGCTGCTCTCCTGTTATCCCTTTACTGCCAATCAAAGTGCTTCTTGCTCAAGGTTCAACTCACAATGTGATAAAAATAATAGCCTAACAATTGTTGCATGCTTTATGCTGAGATTTTACATGCGTTAACTGTGAATTCTCATCAACCCTACGAACAACGTATTATTATTATTATTATTATTATTATTATTATTATTATTACCACTTTACAGAGGAGGATGTTGCAGGTTAGAGAGGTCCAAGTACATTAACTAGTGAGGTACAACGACCTGAACTGGCCTGATTCCAGTGCCCATGCAGCCAACCAGAATGCTGGGCCCTACTCCATAGAGCCTCTCCATTGGCTTTCTGGTGGAAATTAATTACTCCTTACTTTAACCTCTACCATAAGATTTTTCCCCCATTGCTTTGTATTCATGTCTGTTTCCTACACTAGGCTTTAAGTTTCAGAGCACAGTGCCATTGGTATATCTCCACAACTCGCAGTGCTCCTCTCTCACCTGGGACATCCTTTGTGCCCCCATATTCTGCCTGTAATAACCACTGGAAACCAAGCCCACCCTCATCTTTGTGTTGCCACTGTCCTTTGTGCTTACTTCATGTTATATTATAATTATTTGTTTATGTCTACATTCCCTATTAGAGTATAGGCCACCTGTAACATTCGGCTATCTTACCAAAGAGGTTTTTATTTATTTAATTGAACAAGCACTGCTCCAAGAGCCCTTTAGAGTAGGTATTATTTTATCACCACTTTCTATGAGGAGACTGAGGCACAGAGGAGCTGCTAGTGAGCAGCAGAGTCAGCATTCTAACCCAGGAAGCCTGGCTCCAGGGCTAATAACTGAACCAGCATGCTGCGCTTACTCTCCACGGCTCCATGTGTGCTCCCTGCTGAAAACAGTTCAGTGATTTTCCACTGCTCTTAGGCTAAAAGTGAAACTGCTTAATAAGACCTACAAAACTCCATGTGGCCTTAACTCTGCGCTGCATCTCCCACCACGCTTCCTGGCTCACTCCTGGCCCCTCTTGTCTTCTCCCCCTTGCTCCTGAGAACCATGCTCCCTCTGAGCACAGCACATGTTCTTCCCCTGGCCTGCAATGCTGTTCCCTCACCTTGTTCCTTTCTCAACCCCAAGTTTTCCTTCGGATTTTAGCTTAGAAAAACCTTCCTAGACTAAACCAAATATCCTATTAAATGGATTTTTAGTTCTTAACATAATTATCACTTTATAGTTTATGTATGTGAATATTTGAATAAGGCCAGCCTCCCCTTTCAACACCATAAGCTCCACGATGCCAGGGAATATAGTTGCCCAGCCAGCTACTAGGATGGTATCTGACATGTTGTACGTAGTGAGTGAGTAAACATTCATTGAATGAATAATAAATAGGGTTATGAAAACACAGGAGGGGCACAGTGTCGTGCTGGTACATGTTTACCAACCAGTCTCTTTCGAAAAGCCCTGCTTTGTACCATTTGCCAATTTCTGTGATGTAAATACTCACACCGCGGCCAGTTTTCAGAGGACACACAAAGGCAGGCAATGCTGGAGCTGGGAGGTAATACATGCAATCAGCTTGGAGAGCTCAGAACAGCTGGCTCCAGCTCGCCACTGGAAGGGCAGAAAGGGGCCCACAGAGCCCAGGCGAGCAGCCCAGAGATCTAAGCTGAGATATAACACATGAATAGAAAACATATTTGGAAGGTGGAGGCCTGTGTGGGACAAATAATTGGCAAGGTGGTGGGGGCTGGAGAAGGAAAAGGTCAAAGTTCAATAGGACTGATGTACACATTTGAAAAGAACCTTGTGAACCTTGATATAAAGTTCAGACTTCAGGGAGCATTGGATTGGCTTTAGCAGGTGAGTGGAACGGTGAAGCCAGCATTTTGGAGAGATTGCTCGGGCTGCCCTCATGGAATGGAATGGGCACTGGGCAGCCACCCAAGGAGGAGATGCTGGTGAACTGAACCAGGATAGAGATGTAGAGAAAGTGAGGACAGCTGTGAAAGGCATCCTGGTAGGAGGTCTTCCACATGGAGTTTTGGGCAAAGGAGCAGTCTGACCGTGAACAGGCCTCAGTTACAAGGCCAGCTTTAGGGAGGTGGGACCTCATGACTGGGAATGGGACCAACACAAGGCAGCTCTTCACCCTCCACCCTGGAGACCCGGGCCCAGACTTGATTGTGAGCACAGAATTTAGAAACAAGGAGGCCAGGGTGTGAGTTCTGGTTTAGCCACTGGCTAGCTATGGCTGGTCCGTGAAACATCCTGGGTTTTCAGTTTCTTCTCTGTTACAAAAAAAGTGGAACAATGAAAACACCTCCCATGATAACTCTGATGACAAAATGAGATAAGATATATCGAAGTAACTTACAGCACGTGGCACATAATAGGTATATAATAAATATTTTAAAAATGTAACAGGAAAAAAGAAATGGGAAATAAATCAGGCATTTCTTGGTTTACACAAGGGGTCTTCAGATCTGAATATAGGTGTCCTCAATGGGGTGACCGATAGTAAACACCATCCAAATCGAGACTCCTAGAGAGTGAGAGGGGTGCTGTTAATAACGTCACCAGGACAGCAGGTGTAAGCTGGGGTGTGTGGTCATTTCAGTGCTCAAAGACTTTCCAAGAGACAGAGAGACAAGCAGAGAGAGTTTTCAAGCACCAGCTTCACGATTCAGAACCTCAAAAATGTTGCCTCCTGCCAAAGACTGATTTTCTTGAAAGGTCTTTTATAATTGCCTTCCTTCTACTTTCCAAAAGAAAGAGTTCCTTTAAAAAATTGGGGTCAACAATTCAATCCACCACGTTTACTCAGTACAGTTGGTCCTTGAACAATATGGGCTTGAGCTGCAGCCATCCACTTGTGTGTGGATTTTTTCCAATTGATCAAAGTTCAATAGACTCGCATGGTTCAAATCCACATTGTTAAAGGGTCAACTCCATGGTTAGGGATTTGTGTTTACAGAGGGCCAACTGTACTTATATGCAGATTTCTGACTGCATGGGGGTTCAGCACCCCTAATGCCCTATTTGTTCAACGGTCAACTATACAGCTGCATGGTGTGATAGACTATCAGTTTTGGAGACAGGCAATCACCTACTGGCTCCGTGGCCTTCCACAGGTTATATAAAATTCCCCAGATACCAGTGTTCTCATCTGTAAAATCTGTGTTGCTACCTCCCCCACGTTACTTATAAGTGATTATAGAAATTGCATGTGATGCTCTCTGTGGGCTCTGCACTTTGGGCACTGATATTAGTGGGGCCACTCCGACTGCTGGTTGCAGCGAGTGCGCCGTGACTCTGTTCATAAGAACTATGAGGAGGGTGATCCGTGGTTGGACTTTATTGGTGCAAAGCCACCCTACTGGAGAGCTACAGAGCCCCAGCAGAACCCATAATACAGCACCCCTCCATCATGCCTGTTAACGCCCTCTTTGCTGGCAACCACAGCCGTTTGTCTGGGGAAAAATGTTCTCCCAGACGAAAGGCCAGCCACTCACTATTATGTGTTTGGTTTGACAGTTCTTATGTACATCCACTTCTTTTCTTGGCAGCTTGAATTTTTGGTTCATGAGCAAGATGGGTGTTTACTGTAGAGGGTCCTAGGGCAATGCTGGGCATGAGGCA